TTGGCGCATTTAGATTTTAATTTGCGATAGCAAACTTCTTAATAGGATTTCACTGTCGCTGTTTTTCGTTGGTGTCTGGCCCCCCACCCACACACACACACTAGCGTAACACCTCACACATATATATAGACACACATTAGCAGACATGGAAAATATTTTCCACATTATTCGCATTATGTTGTCAGCACGCATGGCAACTCCTTTTGAGTCCCGCTCTTGCTGCTCGTTCTGCTCCTACGCATTCCTTTCAATTCCCTTGCATTTCTTTTCTGGCTTTCTTTTTTCCTTTTCTGTTTTCCATCTATTGGTTGGGCATTAGTTAGTTGCCTGGGTGTGGCAAATGGGGTGCGGCTTTTGTCTAAAAACTGTGGCAGCTCTTACGGCTTTTAGGCCTTCTTAATTGTTTGACTTTACTTTTGTGTTGCTATTGCTGCTGTTGCTCCTGCTGCTGCTGTTGCTCCTGCTGCTTCTTCTCCTTGGGTTTCTGTTTCTTCTTCTGTTTTTGGTCATTCAAATCCCTATTCACTTTACCGATTTCCCTTGCTCTCGTCAAACGCCTAAATTTCCCAACAGTACGAGGCGCAATTCTCGGTTGAAGCACTCCAGGGACTCTTCGGGTTGTCCTTATGTATTTTTTTTATTTTTATTTTTTTGTATTCTACCCTTCTGAGATGGACTACTCTTTTGTTATAAGAAGCATTACCCTAGAAGGACCGAGACTATAATATCAGCTACTCCTACTACTACTTTTATTTCGATCTACCAGAATTACTATTAGTCTACTACACATCTCCTATCATAACAATCTACTTCTATTATTACTGCTACTATTTACAAATTCTTCTACTACTATTTCTGTATACTGCTATTCTGTACTACTATTTCTGTATACTACTACTCGCTACTGCTATTATCTACTACTACTTCTGTATACTGCTACTGTCTACTACTATTTATGTATACTGCTACTACCTACTGTTACTATTTCTGTATATTGCCACTGTCTACTACTATTTATTTATATATACTGCTGCCTACTACTACTACTATCTACTACTATTTCTGTATACTGCTACTATTCACTATTAGCACTACTACACTTATACTGTCTACTACTTTCTACTACTAACTACAGCTATTTCTGTCTACTACTCTTAATATTACCATATACTATCATATTATCACTAATAATAGTGTCCCCTGCTAATATTTACTAATTTCTATTTATTCCACTATTTACATTTATTACAACTGTTAACTGCTATCTATGTAATAACCTCTACTACAAATCTTCAATCACTGTTGGCATTATCATTCGATTTCGAAAGAGTATCTTACTTTCAACCAACACATAGAGAGAAATTTTTTCTTTTTTAATTTATTATGATGTATTTTGCTGACATCGCTAAACAGCATTTGTTTAGGTTATCCAAATGCCAGTTGCTGTTGTTCTTATTGTTAAATTATGTAATAAGCGTAATTGGCTTTGCAATGGCATTAGCGCAGACCCCACAAATTGTCAAGGGAGTAGCAGGGCGACGGACCAAGGGGTGGGAGTGGGAATGGGGATGGGTCATCTAACGCCTGACCAGACCAGCTCGTAGCGTGTGGGCGTTCATCAGCGATGTTCTCTTTATTTATTGTGACTTTGATAAGCGGCAGCCGCTGGTCGTAAATAGACGTAAATTAGATAATATGCCAAGGCCAAGTAGCAACAAAAATTTATGTTGTCTAGACCAAATTAACCAGTAATAATAGCTGGGCAAGTCTTTAGCAAAGTTTGATTTAATTGGAAGTCGACAAAGTCTCAGTCCACACACCGCACATATACAAATACATACAGTGCATAATGTATATTTAAACAAGAACTTTAGCTAATTAACAAACTAACCTAAGAACTGTCCCACATTGGACAGCAGTTGGGCAAGTTGTTGGCCCTTAATTTCTAATGACAAAGCCACAAAAAGGACGACACATATGAAATGAGCCCACATCGATCTCAGCTCTGCTCGACCGTCAATGCAATTAAATTGAAATTGTTATGCACTTAACTGGCCATTCAAGTCGGCCATAAGCCAAGCAGCAGCAATGCAGCGCAACAAAGATGAAGCCGGTTTTCATTCGGCTACTGCTGCTGCTGCTGCTGCTGGCATTAAGCATACAACACGTTGTACGACAAAGTCTTCAGTGTGGCTGCACGATAAACGTTTTAGCTGCATGTCTATAAACCGACCGAAGCTCGTTCTTTGTTGAGTACCCCAAGAAGTGCATATCAGAATTTTATCAACAACTTTTTGCCATCAGCTCTCGGAGTCGTTTTCATATTCATAATCAAGAGTACGAGGCACATGTCCAAAACTTGCTGTTGAGCAGGTGAGCAGGTGTGCAGGTGGGCAGGTGGTTAGGTTGAGCTCAGGTAGACTTCTGAACAGCTTGGGCCACTTTACATAAATGGATGCAGGAACTGAATGAATGGCCAGTCAACTGTGGACAGCTGTGCCACTTGTCTAATATATGAACGTGCGTGTGTGTTTGTGTGTGTGTGTGCGTGGCAGCTGCATGGCATATGAAGCATACTTTATGGCTGAGATGAGCTGCTGGCTTGCCAACTACAAGCGCTGCTAATAAAGCGCGCGCAAGTGCCTAAGTGTGTGTATGTGTGAGAGTGAGTGTATAAATATATATGGGTGTGTGTGTATGTGTCAGTATATGTGTAAGGCCTGCCCTTTGGCTGCTAGCGTCGCCCTAGTTGGATAGAAAAGTATGTCAAGATTTACGCGCATCGTTAAAGCAATAAACAAAGAAAAGAAAAACGAGCTAAAGTGATTTAGTTCCGCAATACCCTGTAAATATCTATGCTGAATTAGTTAATATAGTATATGTTATAATAGTATTAAAATTCACATGGGAAGTAGTTAAAGTCTGTATGGTAATCAGTTAGTTCGATAATGGATTGATAATGTGTTGATTTTTATAGATCTTAAAAATTGATCAGAGAATTTTTTTTTATTGGTCTTGCATAGGTTTTGTATATGAACACTTTTTAATTTTCAATATAAATTAAATAAAGATCTATTTGTTTTTTTTTAGTTATGTATAGAGTATTTGGAAGTTGAGCTTTAGACATTATTAGCGGAACGAGTAGAAATTTAGATTGTCTTTAAGTTGTTTGTCTCAACAGCATAGCTTTATATGTATTTTATGTCTTTGTATATCTCTTTCTCTCTCTCTCTCTCGCTCTTGCTATAAAGTAATCTTAATAAATCTTATCAAGAGCTGGAAAATGCATCAATTTTACCTGGGATTTAAGTTTTACTCTCTTGACTTTATTCTTTGGAGTGTGCTGTTTGCAGCTGAGTCTAAGAGTCTATATAGAAAATACAAACTGTAAAAAACTATTGAAGCTTAAACATCCCTACTGCTCAACACTTTTACAGGGTATTCAAAAACGCAACCAACTTGACGCCGTCCATTTATATATGTTGTGTAAGGCTCTGTGTATATCTGTGTGTGTGTGTGTGTGTGTGTGCGTAGTTGTTGTGTGGGTGCGCCGGCTGTAAGAGCACGCAATGCCAGAAGGCTGTGACGTCGCAGGGCACCCACACTTCACGGCTAACAACGCGTCAGTCAAAGTCAACACACACTTCAATTTGATGTTGTTGTTGTATTTGTTGTCATTGTTGTTGTTGTTGCTGCTGTTGGCAAGCGCTGTGAATGAAGGCGGCAAGAAAAGCGCTTTGCTAGCTCTGACGAGAAGCGCAAAAAATTTAACACTGTCACTTTTTGACAACTGAAGCGCGTACACACACACACACACGCACAAGCAGATATTGGCACACGCACACACACACTCACACAGGCTTAGCAATGCGCTGTCATAAGTTAAAAGCGCTGCAATGCCAAACTGTGAGTTTTTCGCACGCCTCGCTTTTGCATATTTACATTTTAACTTTTGTCACACACACACACACACACACAGGCAGACACATACACACGCACATACGCATACAATCATATATGCCAGTTATGGCCATTTGTGCGCCATTTTGATTTGTTGTCCCGTGTCATAGCAGCAGCTCAGCCACATAAACCTCGCTTGCCCTATCTACCTCTGTCTCTCTCTCTCTCTCGTCTCCCTCTCTCTAAATGAGTTGAACAACGGATGGGCAAAATGTTTTATTTAACGTTTCGTTCATTTCAGTCGCTTGTTTTCATTTGATATTTGCGCATTTCCGCATTGCCGACATGTCTGGCATTTCAAGCTAACGCACACACGCACACACACACACACACACACTCACACACAAAGCACAGCTTCAGATAGAGCTTCCCATATTTGAGTTTTCATTTTCCATTTCTACGGCTGCAGTTGCTTTAGCTATTTCACCCACCCATTGACATGCCACATCCTGCGCCAGGGCACGATTGCTGCATGCCACATGCCGCATGCCGCATGCTGCATCCTGTATGCTGTTGACGTGGCACAAGGCACGCCCTGGGGTAATTAAAAGCGTTTGCAGTTGGCTGCTCCCTCAGTTTATCCATATTGTTGTTGTTCGAGTTGTTTGTTGTTCAAGTTGCTCCTAGTTCTCGTTGTAGTTGTTGTTGTTGTTGTTGCTCTAGTTGCAAGCAGCAGCATTTTATATACTCTCGCATTTACAGCATTTAAACTTTTGCAGCGCTTTCATTAAAAACTCTATAAAATGCAGCCACATTCATATTCTATTCACTTAGTTGTTAAAAACTTTGTTTAAAAAAAAAAAAAAAACATAATTTTTGCTTTTAGCTACGAAATTAAATTCATAATAATAAAAATGCAGCCAACGGCACAAAATATGTCACAAAGAGTATTTAATGTGCGTGTGTGTCTATATAAAGTTTTCAGTTTTTTTTTTTTTTTTTGCCTTTCAATCTTTTTTTGTTTTTTGGTTTTTGTCTAGTAAATTTGCTGTGTGTGTTTACACACCCAGCACACAATGAACTTTGTTGTTTGGCTTGACTTTCTTTTCTTTTTGGACAGTGTCAAAAGATTGCATTTTTCGTGCTTTAAACACTTCCATAAGCACTTGACACATGCTCTAAACACATTACGTATACGCAACGTCAGCCGATGGCAAATGCTGCTATTGCTGCTGCGGCAGCTGTGCAATGGCTGGGGCCCAGGACTCGGCTGGTCGGCTGGCCGCGCAAAGACGCTGAAAGACAAAAGTTGTTGAATATTAAAGTAGATTTTTATAGAGATATATTTATTGCTATTTTATAGCTGCGTTTAGTTACCTCCCAAAAAGTGCTGCCATTTTTACGCTGTTTGTAGTAGGCATAGAAAGCCCAGCCCGGCAGCTGCAACAGGCCCAAGGCAGCCAAGATGTAGCCAAAGACTGAAAGCAAAGAAATTTGAGATAAATATATATT